CAATATTCCAATGGAACGTTGCTCTACTTTAAAATAGTCGCATGTAGAATATTCCTGTCGAATAAACTTGTATTCGAATTTTCTGTAAATTCTAAGAACTTTTCTGTAAAATCTTAAAAACAATATTGTCTCAATTAGCGATAATTAGATGAGCACAACTATTGTTATTCAGAAATTATACTTTTCATTGCGACAGAGCAGACTGTTGCAAGGATTTGCAAGAGATTCAGTTGTTCCACCGGAAGTCATCGATCGATCTTCAATCTTTCCTGTTCCTGGATGGAGAGAAGTGTCGAATTGATCCACACACGTACACACACAAACGGTGTTTTCAGGGTGTTTTCGAATTGGGAACACGGCACGTCGATTTAAACGAGACGAAAACGTCATGGAGCGGGGCAAGGATGGAGTAGAGCTGAAGGACAATTAACGAAGCAGCTGCATCTGACACCGGCGGGTCGCGTCTACTACTCGATCACTCCGCGATGACGGCTTTTCAAAACGAGCCCGCCGCGTTTAATACGACCCCCATGCATTGTGCGTCGCGTCAACGTTTTCCCGATGGAATTCCCCCGGCTTCCTGACAGCTTAAGAACCGATCGTTCCCGCGGAACTGGCTAATTTCGGAGGCATCGCGATTTTTTTTTTGATCGACGGATCGCGCGATATGAGCTCCGATGGAAATATTCCGACGCGCTCGACGACGTTTCCGCCTTACCCTCTGTGTGCACAGGGTGTCTCGTATAAATCGAACGAAATTTCAGACACTGAATATTGGAATTATTTGAATGAAATGTTCGACTGTTGGAAGTTTTACAGTACTAATTTCTATCGATGGGACATTTTTAGAAAAAGACACTGATCAATTTCAGGTTAACACTCTGAGTCCGATAGAATTTTTTTGAGGGTTGAAATAGTCTACTTTATACTTCAGATTGGGAGGCTTCTTGTTTGGAGTGCACGAAAGTGTGAAAATCGTGGATTTCTGGTATGGGACTCTTGGACTCTGGAGAACTCTGGAACTTTGGGACTCTGGAGGACTTTGGGACTCTAGAGAACTCTGGAACTTTGGGACTCTAGAGAACTCTGGAACTTTGGGACTCTGGAGGACTTTGGGACTCTAGAGAACTCTGGAACTTTAGGACTCTGGAATCTACAGAACTCTGGAACTTTGGGACTCTGGGACTTTGAAAGATTTTGCGGCTCTGGAGGACTCTGAATCTCTGGGATTCTGGAGGACTCTGGTATTCTGGAGGACTTTGGGACTCTGGGACTCTAGAGAACTCTGGAAGACTCTGGGACTCTGGAAGACTCTGGGACTCTAGAGAACTCTGGAACTTTGGGACTCTGGAAGGCTCTGGGAATCTAGAGAACTCTGGAACTTTGGGACTCTAAAACTTTGGAACTCTGGAGGACTTTGGGACTCTGGAAGACTCTGGGACTCTGAGACTTTGGGACTCTGGAGGATTCTAGGACTCTAGTATAGGACTCCGAGTCCCGCTCAGACCTAGACTGTTAAATAAATTCCCACTGACCGTCTACAACTTCGTCCAATTGAAAAATTCAAATATTCAAATAGATCCTCAACTCTAAAACCCAAGATTTCCGACACAGTAGTCAAGTAGCATTTCCTTCGATACCTTTTCCACGCAAGGATAACGCAGCATCCGGCGCGTGGCACGTGACGTCGAGGAACACGAGGACGATGTCGCGCGAAACAAGTCGCGTCGACGGGTATGACGGGGAACGAAGTATGCTAAAATGATTACGGATGTGCGATGGTGCGTTCAACGATGGGCGTGCTCGCGGCACTGATTTAATTGTACGAAACTGCTCGGCGGCACGCACTCGAGCGGACGCCACCACTCGACACACACACACACACACACACGCACACGCGTGTGTGTCACACAGCTGCCGCGAGCGCGGGCTACACGTGCCACCGTTTAATATAGAAATTGCCATATTCGTTTCGACCTTCGCCGGCACCAATGAAATTTCGTGTCGCGATATAGCGAGAGAAACGTTATAAATCAAACTAACCCTTTTTTTTCTCCCCTCCAACTATTTTTCATCCTCTTTTCTATGATCGGTACATCGAGTTCGATACGTGTCTGATTTCTCCTTTTCGCTTTTGGTTTTATTGAACGATCAGCTCTGCGCTAAGTTGATCACGGCGGATGATTTATTGGCGCACGGAAATGAAGACGGATCGTCCTGCAGAATATGCTTGATCCTTCTGCGGTCCTTCGTCCACATGGAACTCTATTTTATTTCATTTATTTTCATTCGAACGCTATATACGTGTGTGACATACATATACGGGGAAGGCGGTCTCTTTGATATTCGAATTTTATTTAAGGCGGTCTCTTTGATATTCCAATGTTATTTAACGTAACGAATTGAAAGGTGTTCTTGAAAACATACCAGATAGATTAACCGAATTATAGATATTCGAGGAAATTTTAATCCCGCGAGTTCGTTGAAATCTCGCAAATTTCGTTTACTCCCAAGGTCCTTTTCAAAGTAACCTCGATCCTCTAACGAGGAATTTCGAAAAATTCAATATTCCCCTTGGAAAAAAGACAACACGAGTGAGAAATCACGAACGAAAGTATGAAATAATTTTCTCTCCCCTCGTCCTTCCACGATATAGATCCGCCGTGACAAATTGCCACGCGAATTGACTGGAGGGATCTCTCGATCTTTCTAATTTCACTTCGAAGAATTTCCACATAAATCAGAAACCGTTCGCACCTGGAGAGTTTGCAAAATCACCGACATACATCCCCAGCGGAGGAGAACGAGAAAGAAAGCTCGAGTAAATCTTGCTCTGGCTTCTCGTACACAGGAGAAAAAGAGAGGGAAAAAGGTAACAGCCGGGCAAAGGATATTCATCACGCGTTGGTTATTAAACGGGCGTTTTTAACGACGAAGGACCTCTCCTCTGCGAGGAAAATGAAAAGTAATTTTTTTCCTCTGTCCCGACACGAAAGAGACTGTGCGGAGGGGGGATACGATGAGCGAACTGTTGGGAAGAAAAATGTTGGCGTGATAATAATCGTTTATTATAAGTAACTATTAACACGTTCTCCTGTCACGTACATCGTCTTACGTGTTTTTTCCACTTTTTATCTTTTTTTGTATTCGCTTCGTTCATTGCTTAGGAATCCATGCAATAGTTATACGTTACATTGGAGCATTCATGTTTTTTTTTCATTTTTTTTTTTTTTTCTTTATCATCCAGTTACTTCGGAATTACAGACATTTACTTGTAATGCGGTATAATTATTTTCGTGTGACGATTATTTACAGAAAGAACGATCATATCGGTTTACTGGCAGGCGCAATTCAAACCAGTAATTTTACAACTAACCGTAATTACTTCGCTGATAAGAGATAACGGGACAATACTAATTATACGAGCAGTAATCCGAGCGTGATCGCGCGCAATTTCTTTTAGTCGGAACCGCGGACAACCATGGGTGGATCGCTGCGTCTTCGATAAATGTTTTCGTCGTTGCTTCTTCTCTGTTTCAATCATCGTATCAAATGCAACGGGGGTGTTTGTTTTGTTGTTTTTTCTCTCGGATCATCCGAGTGTGTCCATAGTTTGCTCCTTTTTTTTTTCTGTTTTTACACATTACGAGGAAAGAAACGATACAGATCGAGGCACGATCTTGTTTTTCCCTGTTTTTTCTTATTTTTTTAATTTTTACTCATTTTCAACCGTTTCGCTTCAAGTACGTTGCGAAAGAAAACAACGAAAGACAACAATAAATTGAAAAATAAAAGAAAAATGCTTGAAAGAGAAGAAAAATGTATCGTCATTCGAATGTAAATCTGAATTCGTTTTGTTTTTTTTTTCTTTTTATCGTTTATCGCGTGTGTGTGTTCTGTTTCTCTTCTTCGTGTTTTTTTTTTAAAAAAAAAAAAAAAAAAAAAAAAAAAAACAAAACGAAGGCTGCTGCTGCTCGATAAAATCTGGTCTCGCTTTTTTTTTTTTCTTTGTTCTTGTTCTTCGATGAAATCGTCGAAAGGAATTTCGGTGTTGAAAAATATGCGATCGTTTTCAAAGCCGAAACACGTCGTACTATTATTCTCCCGTAAAAAATACAGTGCGGACCGTAATCGATACAGGCACGATAAATATTAAATCACACTGCGCACACGTATCAAGTGCTAAACTGCATCGTGGATTATAGAGCAATTTACTGCATCGTTCTCTACTCGCAGAAATCGAGCGCAATGCGACGCTGAGCTAAACGGCTGAGACGATTTACAAACAGAAAGTAGAGAGATTACACAATTGTGGCTGTGTGTGCAAAACGACAAACGAACTCTCGAACGCTACAAAACAGAAAACGATAGCCGGCCGTAAAAAGAAAATTATCCTCTATTTCGCACGGAACTACACAACTCTATGTATAGGTTACAAGAGAAAATTATCGCTTGTATTTCCAAGCGATAATCTTTTTCTCTCTCTCTCTCTCTCTCTCTCTTTTCTTCATCTCGATAATATCACGTAGCCGTGTTTGTTCCTTTCGTTTTTTTTTAGATTAAATGAATTTTCGCATCGTTGTTCCATATTGTTTCGCGCACCGTTTTTTTTTTTTTTTTTTTCGAAATCGTCTCTTTTTCCTTTTTCCTTCCTTCTTTTTTTTCTGGCAGGGTCGTGTTGCGTCGTTTGTAGTCAGTCGCATTGCTAATAGGGGAGGGGTTACCGGCTACGTAAGCGAGGAACACGTATAATAAATATCGAATAACAGTTGTTACTTATAGTAATACGAAGTAGTAGAATGCAGCGTACATATAGCATAGCAGTAGCCACAGAGAATACCTACTACGTACGAGTTTCTGTCACATTCATACTACATTATTTTTTTTTTTTCGTTTAATCGTTGGCTATGTCTGGCTCTCCCTCTCTCACCAACCCATTTTCTCAGAATCTTCTCTCTCTAACTCTACGCTCATTCATCATCGCGCTGCTCATTCTCTTCTTTTTTTTTTTTTGTCTCTTTACACATATTTCATTCCATAGTTTATTATCTCAATGTTATTTTTTTTTTATTCTTTTTTCATTTTTATTGTTTTTTTTTCTTTTTGTTAACGAACCTCTCATCCATACATACAACACACACGCATACACACGCACGCATACGTATTATTTTTCTGTTCGTTCCTTCGGATTCTCTTCGTTCTTATCGATATCGTCATGTGTTCAACGAAAGGATACAAGTGATCTCCTTTTCATTCACCTAATCATCCGTCAATCAACTGAAATTTGACCACATACTAGGATTTCCTTTCACCATCGGTCAGTCCGTTAGTTTGTCCGTCATAACACAAACAATATAGACTTTTCAAAATGTCCAACAATGTCTATTAACATCCTTTAGCTATTCACACACTTTCGAAACCATCTTCTCCATCTCAACGTCCGTGTCGATATCGTGGTGTACATGATTGCTAGCACTGGCGTTGCTCATGGATTCAACGGAGTTACTGATTGCCGCGGAAAGTGTGCTCGCTGGGGGAACCGCCGACGTTGGTGGTGTGCTCGGGGTACCTGGGGTGGCAGTCTGTTCAATGGGCGAGCCTGGAGACCCGAGTGGTTCGACCAAATCTTCTAAGCCTTCAGGGGTCGGTAGTTTACTCAACTCTTCCCTCAACAATCTATAATGTCTCTGAAATATATTCAAAGTATCACGGTAATACGTCGTTCTGACTATGCGTAGATTAAAAACACGGCTACTGTAGAAATTGTAAATTACCCTTAAAGCT